TTCCCTTTCCTTTTCTTTTTTTGAGGGCCCAACGTCGAAGGCTCCATCTATTGGTGGGGAGCAGCACCTGCTGGAAATTGGGTCCAGCATCCCTTGACAATGGTGTGATGTATATGTGCTGGAAATCGGGTCCAGCGTCCCTAGACAGTGATGTGTGGAGATATCATAGTGTGCATCCAATATAGTCTGTGTTCATACATCAATATGTGTCGCATGAAGAGAAAACCCTTTCCACCATATCAACCATATCAGATTCTCCAGAAAGAGCAGAGGTGTTCATTACTTCCTTGCTCAAGAGAAGGATTGACCTCATGGCCATGTAGCGTATGCCTTTTTTTTTTTTTTTTTTTTTTGAACTCCACATGTGGGAAACCTACTTAACGAGGTGATAAGAGCAACCTCGCTAAGTAGGCCCCTGCGTCGAAGACTCCATCTATTGGTGGGGAGCTGCACCTGCTGGAAATCGGGTCCAGCGTCCCTATACAATGATATAATGTGAATCAGCTGGAAATTGGGTCCAGCGTCCCTATACAGCGATGTGAGGATATGTCATTCAATCAAGACACGAAACCCTAGCTTCCCTGTACAACGTTATGATGTGTATCAGCTGGAAATCGGGTCCAGCGTCCCTATACAGTGATGTGAGGACATGTCATTCTGCCTAGAGCAAAACATGAAATCCTTAGCTACCCACCTCCCCTTGGGGGCATCACCAAAACATGTCTATCTTATGTTTATCAATCAATTATGTCATCCAAGGGGGAGACCCTAACCACCTCATCAACCTCCTTATCAACCATACCATCCATATCTCCATCATGACGCCAAGCAGAGGCTGATCACCCTTGTCGATTGAAAAAGCGGGCCGGGCAATTTTAATCGCCTTTGACTACCCTATCCCCACCCTGAACTGGAAAGCAATGAGCAATTCCATTACAAGATGGGGGGGGGGGAGGGAGTATAGTACACCACTTTGTTTCACCCTAATCCCCTTCCCACTGTCCACGTCAGATCCCGGCTTCTCACTTACCTTATTGATGATGAAATTGGTTGCATGGTCCCTGCTGCCCGCCCCGCTGTTGCCGTGGTCATCGTTGATATTTTTGTAGTTGTTGTCATCCCCGACCGCGCTGTTGTTGTTGAAGCTGCTGTTGTCGTCGTTGATGTTGTTATTGTCGTTGTGGTTGTTGTTGTCGCTGCGGCCGTTGTTGTTGTCCTTGTTATTGTCGTTGTTGTTGTTGTTGTTGTTGTTGTTGTTGTTGTTGTTGTTGTTGTTGTTGTTGTTGTTGTTGTTGTTGTTGATGCTGACGCCGGATTTATCTTCATCTTCCTTCGCTCCATCCTCCTGCCAATGTGACGCGGAACCTCACGCCCTGTGCTGTCTTTCGTTCGGAGTGTTAGGCGTGCGGAAAGAGGCCCAGAAAAACAGCAAGATGGGGTGTGCCAAGGATTTTTGGAAATTGAGTGTGGGGACACAGATGGAACTGAAATCCCCCGTGTTGGTCCAATGAAGCAAGTCGATTGCTTTCGCGCGTCGCGGAATGCGCGCGCAGGCACGGCGCGAAAAGAGAAAAATCCAAATTCAATCCAAAAAGTATTGTCGGTTTTCCCACCGGGCTACAGCCCGTCGTTTAGAACGGAAAGGCTTTGGCACGCTCCGCGTGTCTCGTTTTCGTATAAAATCTCGTCGTCGTTCGATGGTCAGTTCCGAGTCCGACGCGGATGGTCTCAGCCGCATGGCTCTTTCTTTATGCTCGTCTCCACTCCGCACATGGTAGTGGAATCCCCTGGATTCGTAGCGCTCAAAACGCTGGCATTCGGTGCATAGAATGCGCGGCCAGTGGGGTTCTACTGCCGTCCACGGGATGACGATCAACTCGTTGAATGGCAACAATATCGAGTAAGGTGGGAAGTGCGTATCGATAATGACAAACCCAGCCTCTACGAACCCTGAACAACGATTTGCCGAAGGGAAGTAGTATCGTCCGCCGATTTGTGCAACGACTTCTCGTACGTCCCACTCACATAGTACACGTGTCGTTCCCTCGTTATAGGGAAAAGGCGGTGTTGGGACGGGAGGTACGGGAGGCTGGTGCCCGACCGGAGGGTACTGGTCAATCCACATATCAATAAATTGTAAAGACCTTGCGACATCATTAAGAAAAGAAAACACTCGCGCAACTCATAAACAATCTCCTTCAACACGAGGGAGAGAGAGAGAGAGAGAGAGAGAGAGAGAGAGAGAGAGAGAGAGAGAGAGAGAGAGAGAGAGAGAGAGAGA